TGCAGTACAATGTATCAGATTCAAGTGGTAACTTCAATGATAGGTGTAATTTTACGGTTACTGTTGAAGGTACTGTAACTATGTTTGTATTTTGCATTATAGCTATACATTCTTTATTGTTATGATTATTTCTTACAATATGCCTACCTTTTGTTGTTTTTAAATCATACTGGAGCCATATGTCATAGTGAATTTATAGCCATAACTTTGATTAGACTGATGCAGGATTTTTCAAAATGCTTATAACAATAATGTTTATGCAATTATATAAGTTGGTGAATAATTAATTCACACCTCCTTAACTGTATATCATCATCACGTAGAAATAAAATTAACGAAGAAAGCAGCTATTCATAGATCAGTACAAGACACTAGGCTATACCACACAAAAGACTATTGCAAGTTGCCCTACGTCTACCTCTTCCATTAAATGAAATAATTATGAATAATGTTTCTATTAGTATTATTATTATTATTATTATAGATACTAATGTTTTTGTTTTAGTTATTGCTTTTGTCTTTTGCGTGCTCTTAGTCGTTGACTAAGAGTCATGCCTGTAAATAACTACGAGCTATATAGTTATTTTTATAAATTAGTTGTATTTTCCATGAAAATTGCAATTTCCAGACAAAGAACTACCCGTTCCTAGTTGTCCATCACTAGTAACTGGTGTTACTGATGAGGGAAAACCAAATGGCACCGTAAACTACAATATTACCGTAATGGATAACGTTCAGGTTGCTATGTTTTCAACAAACTATACAAACATCAACCCTGCTGCAATGACCATTGATGCAGCTTACGCTGTGGTTGAGACTACTGGTGTATTCCCAATCGGACAAACTGTAATTGAATACATCTTTGTCGACTCTGCTTCGCCAACATCAAATGAAGCTACATGTTATATTACATTACAAGTTGAAGGTAATATTATTGGAGATATAAAGACATTTGATTATAAGGTGTCTGTTGCTGCTACTGATCATCTTTTTATACAAACGTATGTTTTTGTGTTTGCATCAATGTGTCATTTCATACCTTTTAAGCTATTATAACTTTTATCACATTTATTTTTTCCGAAAGATGAAGAAAAGCCCGAAATTGTAGATTGTCCAATGGATATAACAGTTAACACTACCAGCGGACAACCGGTTGCTGTTAACGTTACATGGACAGAACCGACTGCCAATGATAACTCTAAACAAACACCAGAACCAGAGTCAGACTACACCTCAGGTGACAATATGTTTCTGATTGGTCACACAACAGTGCAGTACAATGTATCAGATTCAAGTGGTAACTTCAATGATAGGTGTAATTTTACTGTTACTGTTGAAGGTACTGTAACTATTTTGTATTTTTCATTATAGCTATACATTATTTATTGTTATGATTATTTCTTATGCCTACCTTTGTTGTTTTTAAATCATACTGGAGCCATTTTATCATAGTGAATTTATAGCCATAAATTTAATTAGACTGATGCAGGATTTTTCAAAATGCTTATAACAATAATGTTTATGCAATTATATAAGTTGGTGAATAATTAATTCACACCTCCTTAACTGTATATCATCATCACGTAAAAATATTTTTGTTTTAGTTATTGCTTTTTTCTTTTGCGTGCTCTTAGTCGTTGACTAAGAGTCATGCCTGTAAATAACTACGAGCTATATACAGTAGTTATTTTTGTAAATTAGTTGTATTTTTCATGAAAATTCGAATTTCCAGACAAAGAACTACCCGTTCCTAGTTGTCCATCACTAGTAACTGGTGTTACTGATGAGGGAAAACCAAATGGCACCGTAAACTACAATATTACCGTAATGGATAACGTTCAGGTTGCTATGTTTTCAACAAACTATACAAACATCAACCCTGCTGCAATGACCATTGATGCAGCTTACGCTGTGGTTGAGACTACTGGTGTATTCCCAATCGGACAAACTGTAATTGAATACATCTTTGTCGACTCTGCTTCGCCAACATCAAATGAAGCTACATGCTATATTACATTACAAATTGAAGGTAATATTATTGGAGATATAAAGACATTTAAAAATATGGTGTCTGTTGCTGCTACTGATCATCTTTTTTTATACAAACTTATGTTATTGTGTTTGCATCAATGTGTCATTTCATACCTTTTAAGCTATTATAAATTTAATCACATTTATTTTTTCCGAAAGATGAAGAAAAGCCCGAAATTGTAGATTGTCCAATGGATATAACAGTTAACACTACCAGCGGACAACCGGTTGCTGTTAACGTTACATGGACAGAACCGACTGCTAATGATAACTTTAAACAAACACCAGAACCAGAGTCAGACTACACCTCAGGTGACAATATGTTTCTGATTGGTCACACAACAGTGCAGTACAATGTATCAGATTCAAGTGGTAACTTCAATGATAGGTGTAATTTTACGGTTACTGTTGAAGGTACTGTAACTATGTTTGTATGTTTAATTTAGACATTCTTTATTGTTATGATTATTTCTTATGCCTACCTTTGTTGTTTTTAAATCATACTGGAGCCATTTTATCATAGTGAATTTATAGCCATAAATTTAATTAGACTGATGCAGGATTTTTTCAAAATGCTTATAACAATAATGTTTATGCAATTATATAAGTTGGTGAATAATTAATTCACACCTCCTTAACTGTATATTATCATCACGTAAAAATAAAAATTAACGAAGAAAGCAGCTCTTCATAGATCAGTACAAGACACTAGGCTATACCACACAAAAGGCTATTGCAAGTTGCCCTACGTCTACCTCTTCCATTAAATGAAATAATTATGAATAATGTTTCTATTATTATTATTATTATTATTATTATTATTATTATTATTATTATTTTAGATACCAATGTTTTTGTTTTAGTTATTGCTTTTGTCTTTTGCGTGCTCTTAGTCGTTGACAAAGAGTCATGCCTGTAAATAACTACAAGCTATATAGTTATTTTTGTAAATTAATTGTATTTTTCATGAAAATTCCAATTTTCAGACAAAGAACTACCCGTTCCTAGTTGTCCATCACTAGTAACTGGTGTTACTGATGAGGGAAAACCAAATGGCACCGTAAACTACAATATTACCGTAATGGATAACGTTCAGGTTGCTATGTTTTCAACAAACTATACAAACATCAACCCTGCTTCAATGACCGTTGATGCAGCTTTCGCTGTGGTTGAGACTACTGGGGTATTCCCAATCGGACAAACTGTAATTGAATACATCTTTGTCGACTCTGCTTCGCCAACATCAAATGAAGCTACATGCTATATTACATTACAAATTGAAGGTAATATTATTGGAGATATAAAGACATTAAAAAATATGGTGTCTGTTGCTGCTACTGATCATCTTTTTTTTTATACAAACTTATGTTATTGTGTTTGCATCAATGTGTCATTTCATACCTTCTAAGCTATTATAAATTTGATCACACTTATTTTTTCCGAAAGATGAAGAAAAGCCCGAAATTGTAGATTGTCCAATGGATATAACAGTTAACACTACCAGCGGACAACCGATTGCTGTTAACGTTACATGGACAGAACCGACTGCTACTGATAACTCTAAAGAAACACCAGAACCAGAGTCAGACTACACCTCAGGTGACAATATGTTTCTGATTGGTCACACAACAGTGCAGTACAATGTATCAGATTCAAGTGGTAACTTCAATGATAGGTGTAATTTTACGGTTACTGTTGAAGGTACTGTAACTATGTTTGTATTTTTAATTTAGACATTCTTTATTGTTATGATTATTTCTTATGCCTACCTTTGTTGTTTTTAAATCATACTGGAGCCATTTTATCATAGTGAATTTATAGCCATAAATTTAATTAGACTGATGCAGGATTTTTTCAAAATGCTTATAACAATAATGTTTATGCAATTATATAAGTTGGTGAATTATTAATTCACACCTTCTTAACTGTTTATCATCATCACGTAAAAATAAAATTAACGAAGAAAGCAGCTCTTCAAAGATCAGTACAAGACACTAGGCTATAGCACACAAAAGACTATTGCAAGTTGCCCTACGTCTACCTCTTCCATTAAATGAAATAATTATGAATAATGTTTCTATTATTATTATTATTATTATTATTATTATTATTATTATTATTATTATTATTATTATTATTATTATTATTATTATTCTTTTAGATACCAATGTTTTTGTTTTAGTTATTTCTTTTGTCTTTTGCGTGCTCTTAGTCGTTGACTAAGAGTCATGCCTGTAAATAACTACGAGCTATATAGTTATTTTTGTAAATTAGTTGTATTTTTCATGAAAATTGCAATTTTCAGACAAAGAACAACCCGTTCCTAGTTGTCCATCACTAGTAACTGGTGTTACTGATGAGGGAAAACCAAATGGCACCGTAAACTACAATATTACCGTAATGGATAACGTTCAGGTTGCTATGTTTTCAACAAACTATACAAACATCAACCCTTCTTCAATGACAGTTGATGCAGCTTTCGCTGTGGTTGAGACTACTGGTGTATTCCCAATCGGACAAACTGTAATTGAATACATCTTTGTCGACTCTGCTTCGCCAACATCAAATGAAGCTACATGCTATATTACATTACAAATTGAAGGTAATATTATTGGAGATATAAAGACATTAAAAAATATGGTGTCTGTTGCTGCTACTGATCATCTTTTTTTTTATACAAACTTATGGTATTGTGTTTGCATCAATGTGTCATTTCATACCTTTTAAGCTATTATAAATTTGATCACATTTATTTATTCCGAAAGATGAAGAAAAGCCCGAAATTGTAGATTGTCCAATGGATATAACAGTTAACACTACC